GGGCCTTACAACCATCTGGGACCACAGTCCGAGGGGATCCAGTGCCCTCTTCTGGCTTCTGCAGGCACTGCTCAATGTGGTGCACAGACATACATGGAGGCAAAACATCTATGCACACGAAATTATAACATAATAAAAAAGAGAAAAAACAAAATAAAAAAATAGACGTCCTAATAGATCACCATTCTCCTGTAATAATCAAACCAAGCTGGATATGCCACATAATCATAGTTCCTCTGTGTAGCTTTGGAGCCTGTCCTGGAATTCACTCTGTAGACCAGGCTGGCCTTAAACTCACAGAGACCTGCCTCTGCCTCCCACGTGCTGGGATTAAAGGCTTGTGACACCACTGCCAGGCAATCATAGTTCTTAAAATTCACTGGCAACTGAGGCAGCAATTATCCTAAGCTTACTTCAGTAAGTGACAAGACCATTTTAAAGACAAGAAATCCCTGGTTGCTATTCCCTGACTGAAAGAAAGGGAGGAAAAGGAATCTGCCCCAGACAAAAGCTAATGAGAAATCAGTCCAGCTGTGGACAGCTGGCTGAAAGGTGCCTGTGCACCCTGTCCCCCTCCCTCCTTCCCTTCCCCTCCCTCCCTCCTTCCCTTCCCCTCCCTCCCTCCCTCTCTCTCATGAAATTTTCCCAAGGTACTCAAGGCTTTAATCGAGGGGAAACTGGGAGATGGAGATAATTAGAAAGCCAAGATAAACTTCTGGGAGGCAAGAACTCTTCAGAATACAGAGAAGCCAATACAAGCCACACTGGAACAGCAGGAAGAGCTCTCATGGGACTGGGACAAGGGGCAGATCGAAGAAAATTCCTCAGCAATTGGAAAAAGTCTGTCACCAGCATGTAAAACAGGAAGCTATCTCCTACAAATGAAAGGAAAGGTTCTGAATAGCCTATAAACACACAAGAAGGTACTTGTCACTCTCAGGCAAGAGAAAAATACAAAATAAGGCAACTATTTTCATACCCAATAGCATTTCTAAAAATAAGCAGGAGAAGCACACAGGACCACACTGGGAGGAGTGGTCTGGGGCCTCCTGCACATTGGAGGAGAGGAACTGGGAGGTCACTCTAAAGACTGCAAGGAAGCGTCTTATAAAGTTAAATATGCATCTAGCCTATGAAGCAACGACTTTTTCCACTCTTGAGATATTTTACCCCAGAGAAATAAAAAGGGTTGTCCACAAAAGGCAGTGCTCTGCTATGTCCTATTACCTTTATTCATATGAACATAAACATTTGAAAAACCTGCATGCTCATCAAGAGGAACTGAATATTTATGTAATGAAATACTACTCTGAGATCAAAAAAAAAAAAAGAATAAAGTGTGTGTGTGTGTGTGTGTGTGTGTGTGTGTGTGTGTGTGTGTGCGCGCGCGCGCGCACGCAACAGCATGACTGCCACTCAAAACCATTCTCAGTGAAAGAAGTCACATACAGGGAACATACATTAGGGCAAGAAAGGGTAAAAAATATGTGATATGAAAACAGGCAGGACTACTTTAAGGCGAGGAAGGAGATAAGCAGAGTGGGAGGTAGGGCCAATAAGAACAATATAATGATATATGTGAATGAAAATGGCTCAATGAAACCCATGGCTAACAAAAAAGAAAATGAAAAAAAAATCAGGTCACAACAAAATCTGTTTATTTTGTATTATTAGTGACAGGGCCAGTGAGATGGATCAGTAGGTAAGAGTGGTTTCTGCAAAAGCCTGATGGCTGGAGTCTGGTCCCTGGAATACACATAAATGGTTTAAGACAGATCCAACTCCAAAAAGTCATCCCGATTTCCATGCATGCGCCATGGCACACCTCACATACCCACACATCACAGTCTCTCACACAGTAATAAAATATTTCAATATACGTCATTCATAAAAACATACATACGCACAGAATGTTAGATGTTTTCATTTACAAAAGAAACGCAAAGAACATGCTGCACAGCTTTATTCGCTTTCCATTCATCCGCAGATTAGTCCTCAGAAGGGCTTCTGGCAATTCTTCACATGCCTTCATTCTGTCTGATCTGTTCTTTGCTCCCTGTAAGGTATTTGCATTCAAGTGGGACAAAAAAGACACCATAGAGAAGAGCACCAAGTATATTATAAAAGGTCAAGAGGTGACAAACAGAATGGCCCACGTCATACAGGGACATGCTAGCAATGATGCTATGACTAACTCTGACTTCCTAACCATTAGCAGGAGTGTGGTGCACAACACCTCGGACAAGCAGCTCGAGCCTTGGAGGTGACAGGAGTGTGGAGCAGTTGGCTGCAGCTCACAGAAGCCAGCGAGAGCTAAGATCAAGAAGAAAGCCTGCACGACTCAAGGGAAGAGAAAGCCCGTGTGACTCAAGAACAGAGTCTGGGAGTGGAATACTGAAGGAGAGCAAGACAAGTCAACCTACTAGACACTTTATCTTCCCTCTTCTTTTAATCTGATACACTTGTCTATCAGCACCCAAGAAGGTACCACAATGCGGTGTAATAATTCAGAAAATGAGGCAAACCAATTTTGACACTCCCCGCCCAGTCTTCCCCCAATTATCTCTGTTCCTCTCCTTCTCCCTTTCCAAACTTCCCAGGGAAACACTGTTCCTACTTCTGTCAGGCCCCCGCAACTGGAGCGGCTGAATGTTGAGAAGGCAAAGGCATAATACAGAGAATAACAGTACTCTTCAATCCAATAGAAGAGGGAAGAGAACTTGTAGAAAAATGAGTAGTTACCAAGAACCTCTAGCTATCTTGGAAGCCACAGGAAGTTTCAGAATGTGATAGAACACTGGGCTTCGTGGCAATCTGGACATGCAAAGACTGTGAGTGTTTAAAAGCAGTTCTGAGAGCTCTGACTATCCTTACAGCAAACACTGCATTAGGCTTTTACACATGTGCTTGTGTTAATTTTATAGCCTGCATATTTTTTCATATTGCAATAAGTGGCTATGAAATTATTTTTTCAAGCACACACACATACTCTCATGTACACATGCACATGCTAGCACATACTGTACACATACCAAACAAACAACCACCACAGTAAAATGGGAAGCCTTTGAGGGAACACAGCATGAAAAACAGCTACGTAACAGCATGGACTATGTAGAAGGGGCAACTACCCATCAGCTAGTGTCTACTGCCAACAAAGAAAAACAGCCACTGAGACCCTCCCCTTCTTTTCTTTGTATATGTCTCCAAACACAGCCAAACACTTGGGAGATGTTTAGACTTGGCCCCATCCAATCAAATATTTGAAATGACCTCACAATGAGCTGTGTCAATGTGAGTCAAGGAAGTAGGAGGGCCCGCCTATCACTCCACAGGATGCCTAGAAAGAAGAGCACCTGCTCTTGGCCAGCCATGGTGGCACACGCCTTTCATCTCATCACTCAGGAGGCAGAGATAGGACCTACAGAGTTCCAGGACATCCAGGACTACACAGTGAAACCCACTCCCAAAACAAAACCAACAAACACAACCTACTGAAGGCTCTCCTAAAAGTTACTATTTAAAACATACAGTTGCTTCGGAATAAAATATCACTCAAAACAAGAAGAGCCAACTGCAGACAACAGAAATAAAGCAAGGAAACTAAAATTTTAAAAAATGCATGCCTGAATTCTTGTGGAACAGAATAAAACAGGTTATATGAAAGCAGTCAGGAAATATATAACTTCAGTGGTTATTAAGAGGCAGCCAAGTGGTGTTAAAGGAACACTATTAACTTCTGGGAATGCACTGGAAGTAAATGACCACATTCCACCACAAAATGTGATGCACAGGAAAGAACAAAGAACTGAACACACCCATATGGAACCAAAGTGCTCTGAGTCCTTGCATGTGTATGAGCCGAGTTTGCAAACACTGCATTAGATCCATGCATTTCATTCTTTGGTTTGATTTTTGGGACAGGGTTTATGTGGGATGTCCTTCTGTATGCTGTGAATATGTGTTGCTTTTATTGGTTGATAAATAAAGCTGATTTGGCCAATGGCCATGCAGAATAGAGCCAGGCAAGAAATCCAAACAAATATACAGAGAGATGCCACATGGCTGCCAGAACATTACTGGTAAGCCACGGCCATGTGGCGATACACATTGGTTAATTTAATTGTGAGAGCTAGTAAGTAATGTGCCTGAACCACTGGCCAGACAATTATAATTCATATTAAGCCTCAGAATGATTATTTAATAAGTGGTAGTGGAGACTGGTGGGCAGGAAAGAAACCAGTCCAATGGGACCGGGAGAGATAGAGAAAAACTTCCATCTACACAGGGTCTCTTGTATTTCAGGCTGGCCTTGAAGCCACCACATAGCCGAGGACAACCTTGGACTTCTTCTGATCTTCCTGCATTACTGTATGTGGCTTGTATAGCACTGAGGATTGAACCCAGGGATTCATACATGCTAGGCAAGCACTCCACCAACTGAGATTTACATTCCCAGCCCCTACTATGCATCTGCTAGTGTCAAATATGAAAGCTTCTATCCCTGTTCCTACATTTTCTAGGCAGTCTTCAAAAGAGCATCTAATTTTTCTATCCAAAAAGAGAAACTTGAAAGCTTGAATGATCAAACACCACACATGATGAACCCTGAAAATCATGTTCTTTACTGACTTGAACGTGTTGTACTGAATATAGTTGGAAGCATTGAGACTTGTTATATGAGGTTATATATTACTTAACCTCTTAATACTACTTTTACAAAAAAACACTGTAAGCATCTGAGTTCACTCTCATACAAGCATCTTGCCTGGCAGTGACGGGAGGGGACACTGAGCATAACACACTCCTGCAGTGGCCCTAAGACAGAAACACGTCTCACATTTCATCAGAAGAACTCTTGGTCGTGTTTTAGCTACATTCCTTTGTTTCATCTCGAAATAAACAGATACTTGCAAATACATTTATACATCCCGCTGCTGGTGCACACAGTGATAAAAACAGGTTCCTGACAGACAAGAAACTATACAAACAGGGATTACCTGGAGGTAGGAATTGTAGTTGGTTGTTAGCTAATCGAAGATGACGTAATGCTCTCAGACGACCAATTTCCGGGCAAACAATCTCTAAGGCATTGTCACTGAGATCCAAACACTGGAGTTTTACAAGGGACCCGATGGCTTCCGAGAGAAAAAGAGAGGGAAGGCAGAATGAGTGACACAGTGGCCCTGGATGAAATGCTTTAATCTTCTTTGACTAACAAAACAGTGAAAACAAAGTTACGATTGTGGTAAAGATTTCCACCTTGAGATAAAATGTAATTTCATAAAAGAACAAATAGAAAGGTTAAAACAAAGAGGGAAATGTGTGACTTAATAAATCATCCAAAGATGGCCCCAGCTGCGATGGCAAACATCGGTGGCCACTGACAAGGAAGGGTGAGACAGGGGGGTAGAGCCTGAGGCCAGCCTGGACAGAGGAGCCTATTCTCAGATGAAGTGACTAAGAGCAGGGGTCAGGGCAGCGGCTCAGTTGGTGAGCACTTGTCATGCAAGCAAGAGAACCCAAATTTAAATGCTATACCTAGAGCTAGAGATGCAGAGATTGGGGGGGGGGGGGGGGGGGGGCCCTCCCTGGCCAGCCAGGTTAGCCTACTTGGTGACCTCATGGACAGTGAGAAATTTTCCTCAAAAAAAAAAGAGAAGGCATCCAAGGAATAAGTCACAAGGTTGTCCTCTCCTTCTCCTGCACACTCACACACACAAATTTTAAAGATTATTTTATGTGGAACTAAATTCTTAGCTTGTTGCATGAAGCACTCATCCTACTGTTTGTATAGTAATTTACCTGAACACTTACTGGCCTTTCAGATTTAGTCAGAATTCTTAACTGGACTTACATTTTAAAGCAAACACATTAAGCAGTCCTTTAGATTAAAATTCCCTAACACACCAGTTTAAAGAGATAACTTCATCCACTCAGAGAGTCTTCAAACTAAAAGCTCTAAGTGTGCTTACCTTCTGGAACCACAACTATGTTATTTGAATGAAGGTACCTGTGATGAAAGGAGGGGAAAGTAGCTGTTATTATTCAGTATTTTGCCAGATAATTAGCTCATATAAGCTCTGTTTGAAAACGTATCAAATATAAGGCAAAACTTCCTTTCATACTGTAATGTCAACCCAAAACACACAGATGTAATATTTGAGAAACAATATTTTGAGAGTAATAGATTATGCTAAATCACCAATATTTATCTTCCCATTTAGACACTTTACATAAAAAATCTTGGGGTGTTTTCCAGCCTCCTTAAAGAACTATCAGTTTCTCCAGTTCATTTAAATTGTTCAGGTTTTCAGAAAAACATCTAGTGTGTTAAAATATATATATCTCAACTCCTAGTGAGTAAAAAGGAGTCACTAGTTTTAGTTGCTAGCTAAAGATATTTCTAACTGGCTCCACTATTAAGAGCCACTTGTTAGTCTTACAGGGGACCTGAGTTCATTTCCCAGCACCTACTTGGTGGCTCATAACTATCTGGAATTCCTTCCTGTTCCAGGGATCAAACACCCTCTTCTTAACTTCACAGGTACCAGACACACACATGGGGCACATACATACTTGCAAGGAAAGGACTCAAAGAGAAAATAAAAAACAAACAAAAAACCTTCACAGCTATCTCTAGTTGGCATGCTTACTGTAACCCAAGAATAGGGATTAAATGTTCACTAATGCATCTGTAGACACAGAGATTTTATTTCTCAGCAAATGGAACTTCTTTAAAAAGACCTGCAAGCCCGGGCAAGCCCGGGCTGTCACTTTCCCACTGAAGTATCTTTGGCACACTCTGGTGGACACTCCAGGTACCGTCAGACACAAGATATTTAAAGCCAAATACGGTGACTACCAGAGATCATACAGTAGCAATAGAAGAAAACAGGTTTTATTACTGACTTTGAAGTAAGAAAACTAGATTTTAGAATACTTTATTTTCAAACCAATCAAATCCCCAAAAGTATTTTAAAGTATAACTTAGAAAATTTCTTTTGCATTTTAAAAATGTTTGGTGAACTTTAAAATATCAATGAGCACAGAATAATAATAAAAACAAAAAAATAATCTTGTGAAGCTTTTCCTGTGCCAGATTAAGCCAGTGTTGTAGAGGATGTTAACCTGCAGGTTTTGCAATCAGTTAATCCCAGACACACTCAGATGTTAGACTTTTGCCCCCGGAAATACCTAAAAGTTCTTAAGGTTTGAAACCAGCTTTTCAAAAATAGTTATGAAGAGAAGCATCCGGGTATTTTGATCAATATCACATGCTCAAACTCCCCAGCAGGATATAATAAAGCCCACAACCGAGGTAGAGAAACAAGCACACCTACCCCACCATCCCACCATCCCACCATCCCACCATCCCACCATCCCACCAACAAGCAGCATTTCCTCTCCTTCCTTCCATGTTCCTACTATTTTCCCACTAACTGACAGGAGACCCGAGCTCCTGACCTTCTTGCCAGTTGGTTGAGTGACAAAGCCTTCTCTTTTGGCAAAAGTCCACACTGTAGTATTGGCTTCTATGTTTGTCAGGCAGCAAGCCCTCATTTGGTAACTATGTGACACAATTTAACCAAGTGCACACTCTAGAATAGATTCATTCTTTGCTTTGTGTATAGGAATTGATTACACCATTTTAAATGCAATGCTTTGGAAGCACTCTTGATTAAGGTTCTTTGTGCCAAGAGACTGTAAATAAATGTGCAGGCGCACACACTAAAGTATGCAAATGTGCATTTGTTGTACAGAAAAACCAGATGCCATTGCATGAAAATAGAGGAAGAGCTGGGCTTTAAAAATTGTTTCAGTAAGATACTTGCCTGGAATTCTACCTATGAAAATGTCTGAGTGAAAATATATACCAAAGTACCCACTATAATGACTGAAATTTAAAAACACCTTTTGACGCACCAATTGTATTAACAATAGACACCACGGTGTTCCTAACCCTCACTACACACAGTAACTATCAGGGATCGAAAAGATCATCCATCAAGCATTAAATACAACACGATCTGAATTCCACAAATAATTCTAGGATGCAGCCAAGTGAGAATCCACCTAGTATACCCTCCATGATAACTGGGTGAGAAGTATACCAGAACACCATACAACCTTTACTGCACTTAGTCATGTGACCATGGGGGCATTACCAACACCCAGTCTCCTAATTTATAATCACAAAAGAAAGTATGTTGGCATCTCTCTGGGGGATTAAAGGAGCTGATGACACAGACCTCTTAGGAAGGTGCTTGTTGGGACATGGTGAGAGTCAGTGAACATGTTTGCTGCTGTGTCGCTGTGAGGGCTTTTGTGATCTCAGGCTTAGGACCTCAATTTTATCAGTTCTTCTTAATCAGAGTAACCAAAACCTTCATGTTTAAAAGTAACTAGTTTTCATCATGTTTTGCTGAAATACTGCAGGAAATCAAATTCAATGATAGCACAAATACTACTGATGGGTACAGTTACTTTGACAAATGGCTTGGTCACTTTGTCATGTTTTTTAATAAACTGAAACAAACCTTTACTCAGTATGCTAATGTCAGTTTCCTAATGGAACTCCTGATGTTAACCACAGGGAATTGGGTGAGGGGTATATGAGAACACTCTGTGCTATCTTTACAACTTCCCTTAACTATGAATCTGCTCTACGGTGAAAAGTTTAATTGTAGGAACAGGACTTCCACTTCTAGACGTGATAGAGTAACAAAGGCCAGACTGACCTGACTGCTAGAAACAAGGAAAAAACAGATGGGATCTATGAAACAACTATTTTCAGACAGTGACAACAGGTGACTAAGACTATGTTTCCTAAGAATAGAACTGGAAAGCAAGCCACATCATCGCCTAATTGTCTGTTTGTAGGGAAATTGGGACTACGGCATAAGAAGAGAATTCCTAGGTTATGGAGCTACTAGGAGGCTTCATCAGCTAGTAGTCAAGGGAAAAGAGTTCAGGAGACAATGAAACTACCCTCCACTCCATCCTACCCCCCCAAAAAAAAGCAACTCCAAAAACTTCTCTCTTGACTCTTCGATAAATTCTAAAATGCACATGCATAAGAGAAACCCTTGGGAAAAGCAAGAGAAAAGCTATCAGCTGAATGGTCCACAAAGCTCTCTGAACTGAGGCAGGCATCTAAGCCCAGTGCCAAACCCTGAGTTCACCCAGGGCATTCAAAGGAGACCCGACAACCCAGGCCTTTGCACAGACAGAACCTATCCTTAGGTATAAGATTACTCCTATCCTAAGAAAGCCTGTCACAGGAACAAAACAAAAATGCCAGGAAACAGCAAAACCCCAAAAGGCAAAATGTAGACTATGGGAAATTTATAAAACCCATCATCCAATGAAGAAAATGACCCCAAACCAGAAAAAAAAAAAATTAAAAAAAACAATCAATATAAATAAACCCACTAAACAAATGATTAGCAAACAAGGCCATTTAAATAGCCATAATGATCATGTTCAGGTATATACTGACTCATTTTGTGTGTCAATTTGACAGAAGCCAGGGTCAGAGAGGAAGAAGCCTTCCATGGGATCCAGCAGCAAGGCATTTTCTCATTTAGTGATCAACGGGGGAGGGCCCAACCCACGGTGGGTGGTGCCATCCCTGGGCTGGTGGTCCTGGGTTCTATATGAAAGCAGGCTGAGTAAGCTATGGGGAGCAAAACAGTAAAAAGCACCCTCCATGGCCTCTGCATCAGCTCCTGCCTCCAGGGTCCTGTGCTGTTGAGTTCCTGTCCTGACTTCCTTTGATGATGAACAGTGATGAGGAAGTATAAACTGAATAAACCCTTTCCTCCCTGACTTGCTTTTTGGCCATGGTGTTTTATTGCAGCAACAGAAACCCTAAGACAAGGTTGTTAGATGAAAATTATGAACACTGTAAGAACTATGAAATATAAAGAAAAAGTCAGGCGGTGGTGGCACACACCTTTAATCCCAGCATTCGGGAGGCAGAAGCAGGCGAATCTCTGTGAGTTCGAGACCAGCCTGGTCTACAAGAGCTAGTTCCGGGACAGCCTCCAAAGTCACAGAGAAACCCTGTCTTGAAACACCAACCCCCCCAAAAAAGGAAAAAGGAAATGTCTACAGATCAAAGACATCTATATAGAAAGTGAAAATACATGATATATAAAATGACTGTAGAAAGACACTGAAAAAGTGTGGGGGACCAAATATCTCTGTTATGGAATATTTTAGGTCCCAGTCTCTGGCTGCCGTTGGCGCCAGGAAGCTCCGGGTCACTATTGTATTGTTAATTAACACTAGGCTGTTACTGCCTCAGGGTAACATGCCTCTTATTTGCATCTGTATGTGCCTAAGCATCTGAATAGGCCCTCACCTGGGTGGAGGAGAGAGAGGTATGAGTAGCTTGGGAGGACAGAAGGTTGGGAGTGAAGGGGCTAGCAATGGCCAGAGCAGAGAGGAGAACAAAGAGAGAAATGGTTGCCTTGTGTTATTAGCAGGATAGTTAAGAAACACCAGAAAAGATGGCTAATAAAGAAATGACTCTAGTTCCACAACATGGAACTGAGAGCTCTCTGAAGATGCCAAGATGCCTGTGTTTGGTCTTTATCGCCGTTGGGTTGCTCGGAGCTTCCAGGTCCACACACCCCCACTCAGGCTGAACCTCATGGACTAAGGCTGAGACATGCTGGGTAACGACAAAATGGCCTGAGAACGGGGGAAGAATCTATGGACATCACGAAGAAATAGGCAAAGCAGAGGCTTGGACACTTCAGAGAGATAGTCGCCGTGGGCGAACCGGTTGGGGAAGAAGCATTCGCAGGAAAAAGAAGAAGTGGCCAAATGTGGTGAGTGAACAGTGTTAAGTCAAGAATAAAACTGTATATAATTGTAGAAATAGGAACAGATATTGAAGGGACCAGCTTCCCTTTTGGCAGCCATAACGGCCGAATACGTGCTTCTATGACCTTGTCCCAGACACTAGAAAGTCAGATGCCTGCCTCGTGACAAGATACCAATCGGAAGTTAGCTGGTGGCGCAATGCTTTACGACCCTGGGTGTGCTTTACGGACAAGCGCACAGCAATGACATAGAGAGCATAGCAACCACCCTGGAAGGGCCTATGGGCCATAACAACCAGTTGACCAATCAACACAGGGCAAGCCCTCCAAGCCTGGAGGCACACCAATCGTAAGCCTGTGCGTACTCCTAGACACTCCCCTTACGCTGCCCTATAAGATCTTTCGGGAGCCCCTAGGAGCCGTCTTTTCTAGCCATCCGCCATGGCGGGTGGGTGAAAGACCCGAGCTAACATGGGGTTAGCTCGTTAAATTACAATAAAGCCTCGTGCAGTTTGCAGCAAGCTCTCGAATCCGCCTGGTGATTGGGGTGACTGCGAACGTGGCCTGGGACCCCGGATACTTGAGTTTTCAGGGGGTCTAACAATATATGTAATATAAAATAGGAAGACATCAGCCAGCAGCTGACGAAAAAAGATAAATCGGGTTATTTAACCCTTAAAGCAGAAATGTACACAAAATATATATAAGACGAAGATGTCAGCCAGCAGCTGACAAAAAAAGATAAAGCGGGTTATTTAACCCTTAAAGTAATGGAAGATGGGCAAATGAGAGAATGTCAGCCAGCAGCTGATGAAAATAGGTAAAGCGGGTTATTTAACCCTTTAAGTGAGAGAAAATGCACACAGTCGGTGTGAGACTGAAATGTCAGCAGGGCTACTTTTGTTTACCATGGCCTGAGGGTAATATGCTTCTTATTTGCATCTGTATGTGCCTAAGCATCTGGATAGGCCCTCACCTGGGTGGAGGAGAGAGGTGTAGGTAACTTGTGAGGAGAGAAGGTTAGGAGTGAAGGGCGAGCGGCCAGAGCAGAGAGGACAAACAAAGAAATGGTTGCCTCATGGTGTTGGCAGGGTGGTTAAGAAACACCAGAAAAGATGGCTAATAAAGAAATGACTCTAGTTCCACAACATGGAACTGAGAGCTCTCTGAAGATGCCAAGATGCCTGTGTTTGGTCTTTATCGCCATTGGGCTGCTTGGAGCTTCCAAGTCCACACACCCCCACTCAGGTAGAACCTCATGGATTAAGGCTGAGACATGCTGGGTCACGACAAAAAAGAAGAGTTATGCCGATTATGGATGTATTAAACAGTCCAATGAGAACAAAGGCGTCTGACAGGTAAGGGCCAAAGGCAGCAGAGGGATTAAAAACATCTGATGTAACAATGTCAAGGATTATCCAAAGGTAAAGAAAATAAACCCTAGAAGCTCAGTATCAACAAGAGTATCAAGATCATACCTCAGGAGTATCAAGATCAAATTCCTACAGGTGGAGTAAAAAGCTGGAGGCCCCTGGGCTGTGAGGCAGCTCTATGAAGGCAGCCTGCTTACCTGGCACACAGTCCCGAGTACCATCTCCAGTACCACCACCACAAAAAGAAATTAATTTTAAAACTTTAAAAGAAAACTCTTCAAGCTAGATCAAAAGGAGAAAATATACCTTACAAGCAAAGGAATAAATTTAAGAGAAACAAGTATGTCTTGATAAACTGCAAGCCAGAGGGTAATGAACACCTCCACAATGCTGAAAGACAGAAATGCTAATAACTAATCCCATAAAAACATCACCGAAAAATACAGGAGGTGACCGAGACAACAAAAACATGACTTTTGGGGAAGGAAAAAAAGGAGAAAACCACTGAGTCCCAGGCATCTACATAATACATGAAAACAAAAACTGATACACTAGGTTTCATAGAGGCAGACAGCTTTTAATCTGCAAAAGAACAGAAGAAGGATGAAGAGATGAGCTGAGTCCTGGAAGAAAGGACCTGTAGCTAGGTAGGCAGTGGTAGCACAGGCCTTTAATCCCAGAATTTGGGAGGCAGAGGCAGGAGAATCTCTTGAATTCCAGGACAGCCTGGTCTACAGAGTGAGTTCCAGGACAGGCCAGGGCTACACAATGGAACCCTGTCTCAAAAAGCAAAACAAACAAAGTACTTGTAACAATCTGAACAAGAAGACCATAGACTACATCAGGTACTATTAAACCTAAGCATGAAACAGACCATTACAGCTCAAATGACAAGTAGGCACACAAAAAGATGTTCAACATCAGCAGCCATTAGAGAAACACAAATGAAGGCACACTGTGATAAACCGCAGTCACATCAGAATGCTGGAACGAGAACCAAGAACAGCACCAAACACTAAGGACGGAAGCGTTACTGAGTGTGACTGCAGCACACCTCCCGAGTGTGCCTGTGAGGGCATTTCCAGGGAGAATTAACTGAGGAGAAAGCTATGCTTTGAGTCAGTGGCGCCATCTCATGGGCAGGCCCTGGACAGAAGTAGCAATCTACATTCCACTTTCTCTGCCCCCTGCCTGCACACGGGAGAGCTACTCCTGCCAGCTCCAGGGCTGAGCCATACTGCTACCCCCTCCCTGTTACCGAAATCCCTCTGTAATTGTGAACCTAAGCCTCCTTTCCCCTAAGCCAGCGGTTCTCAACCTGTGGGTCACAACCCCTTTGACAAACCTCTATTTCCGAAAATATGTACCTTACAACTCATAACAGTAGCAAAATTGAAGTTATGAAGCAGCGATGAAAATACTTTTATGGCTTCGGGTCACTACACCAGGAAGAACAGTACTAAAGGGTTGCAGCACTAGGAAAGCTGAGAACCTCTGTCCTAAGTTGCTCCTCTCAGGGAAGTGTCACAGTGTTGAGTGGGTTACATTCTGGTGACTAGTTGTGGATGTTTGCTGTACTGTGTTACCATCTTTTCTGTTAGTTTGGAGAGTTTCAGGAAAAAAGAAAAAGGATGGGACAAATGACAGAGACAAATGAAAGAGACTCAAGGTAATGGTGGATGTAGGAGGTTAGCTTTTCCTTCATCTTCCCAATAGACCAAATAACACAGAGCAAGAACAGCAATGAGAACACTGCTGCAGTGAATCAGACACAGCCTTTCCTGTATGGTGAAATTAGTACAGAGAAATACATGTGATCTAAATTTTTATCTTCCACAGTGGCAAATGAAACACAAATACATGATTCATTATGTCTTAGTCACTGTTCTACTGCTGTAAAGAGACACCATGATCACAGCAAGTCTTACAAAGAGAAACATTTAATTGGGGGCTTGCTTACAGTTTCAGAGGTTAAGTCCATGATCATCATGGCAGAGGCCATGGCAGTAGGCAGACAAGGTGCTGGAGAAGTAGCTGAGAGCTACATCTTGATCCAAAAACAGAGAGAGAAAGTCTGGACCTGGCATGGTCTTTTGAAACCTGAAAGCCCAGCCCCAGTGACAAACTTCCTCCAATTAAGGTCAAACCTCTTAATCCTTCTAATCCTTTCAAACAGTGTCAGTCCTTGATGTCTAAGCATTCATATATATGAGTCTATGGCAGCCATCCTTTTTCAAACCACCACACATTCAAAAACAAAAGTGGCTAGGTGGTGGCCATGTCTTTAACTCAAGCACTTGGGAGGCAGAGGCAGATGGATCTCTGACTTCAAGGCTAGCCTGTCTACAGGGAGAGTTCCAGGACAGCCAGAGGAACCATGTCTCAGAAAGAAGGTAAAGCTGGGAGCTCCGAAAGCAAAAGGGCCAGACTTTGAATACCACCAAAAAGTCAGAGAGAGCTACACGTGTCTGCAACCTTAGCAACTGGAGGACAAAGACAGAGAGATCCTGAGAGCCTTTGGCCAACCAGCCAGCAGAGCTCAAAAGACACACTATGGTTCAATGAGAGGGCTCAAGAGTAAGGTAGAAATTAAGAGAGGAAGACATCTTATTCTGTATATGTATGTGCATGCACACATGCACGACCCAAAAAATTTAAAAAGCATGGGTACTAGGATGCATCTCAATGGGGAAGCACTGCCCTACCATGCACACGGAAAGCCCACAACACCTCAACACAACAAAAACAAAAAGGTGAATTCTGTCAAATTATGTAGGTAATCTTCAAAAGAACTGAAACTACTGAGACATGGAGGAAGTGGGGAGAGATTGTCACTAATGCTCCTCCAAGCCATTAGAGCGCTTATCTCCAGTCTGATATAGGAATAACAGCAGTAGAGATTCTCCAAGTTGTATGGACTTCCCAGAAGGGCATCTTCATTGCCTCAGCCATTTCAACACATTAAAAGGTTCCAACACACCATGGGGATTAGTCTCGGGTCTACCCATAGCAACATGACAACTACACCCGAAAGTAACAAATTTCAAATAGCTTAAAATTCCCAACTTTGTTTTATTTGTTTGTTTTAAAAGTTGAATAGACAGACTCACAGTTCCACAAGGTTTGGAAGCTTCTGGGCGAGATTTTCTGGCTGAAAATTAAAAACGCAGAATTAAATTCTATCTTTGGAAAGCATATTAACATTTTTAACTACCTTACACACAACAGACTATCTTCTTGGGATACAAATTTTGACAATGTAAAAATAACTCAGCGTGTTTAGGATTTATACTTACACCAATCACAAGACACTTAGTAAATTCAAACAGCTAAAATCAGCATCTCTTACAGCAGTAGTTCTCAATCTTCCTAATGCTGCGACCTTTTAATAGTTAGTTCCTCATGTTGTAGTGACCCCCCCAACCATAACATGATTTTCATTGCTACTTCATAACTGTAATTTTGTTACTATTATGAGTTCTAGTGTAAATATTTGTGTTTTCTGATGGTCTTAGGTGGCTCCTACGAAAGGGTTTCGACCCACAGGTTGAGAAGCGATGCCTTAAAGAAACCAGAACCCTCTGGCTCCATGGTCATGAAAGAAAAACACTGATCAGGAGACAGACAGAAGGAAGCAGACCGTGGGTGAGAGAATCAGGGGCTAGAGAGGCAGCTATGGACATGGAATGCCAAGGACTGCCAACAGTCTGCACAGGGAGAAAGGCATGCAAGACTCCCTACAGTCCCCAAAAGGGACCCCCACCCTGTTGACCACACCCTAATTTTGGATGCTTGAGTCCAGAGTGTGAGCAAATGAACTTCTGTTGGTGCTGCATCATTACAGTGGCCTCAGGGAGCCCTCAACCCCCTCGGTTCTAGTTCTGCTGCTCAAGACTGTGACCCAAGAAGGTTTGAAAGACCCGCGAAGAGGTACTTTCGTAGGAGACCCGCACCCAGGAA